GTGAGGAGCAGCCCGGATATTGCAGTTACATGGCCCTGGTGGCCACCGTGTCCCCAGCTCGGTGGCCAATGGGGACATCAAGGCCACCATGGTGTGGTGGCCGTGGGGGGCAGCCCAATTACAGCTCTGTGGCCATGGTGGCCACCATGTCCCCTCACGGACAGCTCCCCACTGTCCCCAGCTCGGCTGCCATGGTGGCCATCATGTCCCCGTGTCCCTCACTGACCTGTCCCCTGTCCCCAGCTCGGCTGCCATGGTGGCCATGGCCATGTCCCCGTGCCCCTCACTGACCGCTCCCCACTGTCCCCACTGCCCCCACTGTCCCCAGCTCTGCTGCCAGTGCTCCGGTGGCATGGCTGTGGCCATGGTCGTGTCCCTGTGTCCCCATGTTCCCGTGTCCCTCACTGACCGCTCCCCGCTGTCCCCAGCTCGGTTGCCATGGTGGCCATCATGTCCCTGTGTCCCTGTGCCCCTCAGTGACCGCTTCCCACTGTCCCCAGCTCGGTTGCCATGGTGGCCATCATGTCCCCGTGTCCCTCACTGACCTGTCCCCTGTCCCCAGCTCGGTTGCCATGGTGGCCATGGCCATGTCCCCGTGTCCCTCACTGATCGGTCCACACTGTCCCTGCTGTCCCCGCTGTCCCCAGCTCGGCTGCCATGGTGGCCACCATGTCCCCATGTCCCCGTGTCCCTCACTGACCTCTCCCTGCTGTCCCTGTGTCCCCAGATCGGTTGCCGGCGCTCCGGCGGTGTGGCTGTGTCCCTGTGTCCCCGTGTCCCTCACTGACTGTCCCCTGTCCCCAGTTTGGTTGCCGGCGCTCCGGCGGTGTAGCTGTGGCCATGTCCCCATGTTCCCGTGTCCCTCACTGACTGTCCCCGCTGTCCCCTGTCCCCAGCTCGGTTGCCGGCACTCCGGTGGCATTACCCCATGTTCCCATGTCCCCGTGTCCCTGTGTCCCTCACTGACCTGTCCCCACTGTCCCCTGTCCCCAGCTCGGTTGCCGGCGCTCTGGTGGCCGTGGCCGTGTCCCTGTGTCCCTGTGTCCCCATGTCCCCATGTCCCCTGTCCCCAGCTCAGTTGCCGGCGCTCTGGTGGCCGTGGCCATGTCCCTATGTCCCCATGTCCCCGTGTCCCTCACTGACTGTCCCCTGTCCCCAGCTCGGTTGCCGGCTCTCTGGTGACCATGGCCATGTCCCTGTGTCCCTGTGTCCCCGTGTGCCTCACTGACTGTCCCCTGTCCCCGTGTCCCCAGCTCGGTTGCCAGCACTCTGGCAGTGTGGCCGTGGCCACCAACGGCACGTGGGGCGTGGCGCGGGGCGGGGCGTGCGCGGAGCAGCCGCGCTATTACGGCGTGCTGGCCCTGCTGGCCCTGGTGGCCACCGTGATGCTGGTCCAGGTCAGCCACATGGTCAAGCTGACCCTGATGCTGCTGGTCACCGTGGCCACCGGCGCCGTCACCTTCACCGCCTGGGAGCCCCTCCTGGACCAGTACGACCGGCGGCGTGGCCAGCACGGCCAGTAAGGGACGGTGGGGACAGAGGGGACAGTGGGGACTGCAGGGACA